TAGAAAATCTAACAAAATTTCATTCTTATTCTAATCGAGAGTTTTCGTAGGGGACTTTGTCTCCCTACGATGTAATTAACTACGAGGGCTTGCGCTCGTAGGAGATTTAGAACCCCACACACCTGATTTTAAAATTGATTTTAAAACTCCATTAGATTTCTTTGGGAAAACTTAAAGAATGATCGTCGTCGTTGCATTAGAAGAACTATCGTAGAATGGTGTCATTTCTCTTTGGGGAGATATATCCTTCTTCGATAAGGCTTTGGATGTGAATGCGACGATCATACTTCTTGAATATTGTAATTGGGTATTTAGTTGAACTCTACTTTGTTCCTTCGGGGCCATATGAAGTTCTCTTTAGGACCTGATCATAATATTCAAGATGAGTTTACATAATTCTAAGTCTGAACACCGTTATGAAAGTTTATCTTTGTCCCCCGGGGTGATATACTCTTTCTAACGAGTTGATTCGACCTTAGAATTAGATCTCAACCTTAATTTTAAAATCCCCAAAGAAAACTAATATTTTTAAAACATGTTTTCAAAATTCCACCAACAAGTTGTTGTAAATCCTTGATCCCTACTCTATGACTTTGATAATGACAAATATTATTAATTGAATTTTTTGCTTTCTCATTGAATATTTTAGATGTTTCTTCTGCTCAACCTTAATTTTAAAATCCCCAAAGAAAACTAATATTTTTAAAACATGTTTTCAAAATTCCACCAACAAGTTGTTGTAAATCCTTGATCCCTACTCTATGACTTTGATAATGACAAATATTATTAATTGAATTTTTTGCTTTCTCATTGAATATTTTAGATGTTTCTTCTGTTTGTAAGCATTAACATTGTAGGTAAGACATACACTGCTCAAGGCTATTGAAAGCTCAAGAATGGGTAGAATAGGAGTGTCAAAGAAGTAAAGTCTATAATTTTACTTTCCTTTATTTTACATTTCTTGAGTTTGTCCACATAAGAGTACATGCAATTAGGTGACCGTAAATATACATAAAGGGCGAGTGAGATAAGTTTTAAAAGTTAAAATTTTTATACTAATCGTACTATTTCATCAATATAAATAATGTTGCTAAGAGCTAATTGAATAATTAGTTTATGTGACTAATCATACTGTATGATCTAGAACATACTGTATGATTCATTATGATTTAAAAAAACCATAGCTGCCAGATAAATTAAGTAAGATATTAAATGTTTTATTTTTGAACTAATCATACAATTTGATTAGATTCATACTGTATAACTATTTGAAATCTTACTTAAATTGAACCCCATAATTAGTCAATTAAATCATGGATTAAATAATGATAATAAATCATACTATATGAAATTGATCGTACTAAATAATTTCTAGAGATGAAATTTGGTCATCCCAAAGATTGTACCAAACAAAACCATGATTTTTTAATTAATTGTATTGTATGATGTTCATATCAAATTGGACATTATATATGAAATTAACTAATTGTACTATACTTGAGAGAGGAGTGTGAGGCGATCACACAGTTGCACTAGGATAGCTACACCCTTACTCTTCCTATGGTCTAAGTGAGTCTTTGAAAGATCTCTTTGGAGAGAGGCTTCAAGTTAAGTCCTGAGGTACTCTGCCTTCTCTAGGAGAGAGAATAAGGAGATTAGGTACTCTGCCTTCTCTATAAGGGAGAAAATGAAATTGAAATTATCTACCTTCTCTAGGTGGTAAAAAAATGTACCAAGATCCACTAACATCACCAAGAGGGGTAGAGGGTGACATTGCATCTGGTACTCAGTAGCATAAGGTTTGGTGAAAGTGAGTCTATAAGGGCTTCTTTCCCTTATTGTTAGAGAAAAAAGAGAGTCACTTAATGTTAGTGCAATACCCAGAGTGGAGGACTTTAGAGAGAGGATATAAATCAAGTTTAACCGAACCACTATAAAAATCATTGGTGTAGTTTTTCCTTTTAGCACTTTTATTTTTACTACATTATATTTCTATAATAACTTCTTGGGAAGATTGGTGATTATCCCTTCCTTTTCTAAATCAAAATATCATCGTAGTTAAATCTATATTTTTAATAAACTTATTTGCTTCTGTAATCAATTAAACTTTTGAATTTTCAATTTCAAAAACCTTTTAAAAACATTTTCATCGTTATTTTGAAATTGATTTTTTTAAAAATTACCAATTCACCACCCCTTTTGTGAGCCTCAGGTTAGTTCTTTAAGGTTTAATAATCTTCACAAACTTTTAGAATCTGCTAGATCCATTCTAGCTGAGTATTTACATCCTTAGTATTTTTGAGCTAAAGTACTGATACCCAATCTCTCTCACCTTCATGTTTTTGTATGAAGGTGTTAATTCTATGTACAGAAAACATAGGAATAAGGTATCCAAGATATAGCTTATCTTTTAAAATCATAAGATATTCTAATTCAAACTTTATAGGATAAAAGGTTGATGAAAAAGTACCTATAGAACTTATAAATTCATAGGAAAATCTATAATCTCTTAGTCCAGTAGAAAATAAAATTTTGTACCGCTATCTACCTCTGAAGTAGAATATATAATTGTAGGTTGGTGTGTTGCTCAAGTCCTATGGCTTAAACAACAAATCATTAAATTTAGAAAACCTGTCAGTGCTATCACAACCATGTGTGATGACACTAGTGCAATCTATATCTCAAAAAACATAATCCAGCACTCCTAAACTAAACATATAGATATTAGACACCATTTTATTAGAGATCATGTAAACAAAGGAGATATAAAATTACATCATATAGCTACTAAAAATCAACTAGCATATATCTTTACAAAACCCCTTGCTTATGAAACATTTAACACCTTTAAGACTAGACTAGATGTTATAGACATTCATGATTGAATTGTGATGAATTTAAAATTGAAAACTTAAATGTTTGTATGTTTTTATGTAATTTATTTGGTCATTAACATGTTTGTTTTTTTAGGTTTGTGATCAATTTTGCTTATATTTTCTTTTTTTTTTCTTTTCATGAAGTTTTTTTTTCCAGATCATAATACACAAATTCAA